ACTTAATAGTTTCCATGTTGAATGAAAATCCCCACAGCTGGTGGAAGGGTATCATATTGAATCCAGTTTTCAAAGAAAGATTAATCACCCAATTACTGGTAAGATCAAAACCACGCCTTTCTCGAATTTCTGGATGCAGCTCATACGCCCGCCAAGTGTTACCGACTGCCGCAATGCCCATGGTTGTACCGATGTAGGCGTAGTACATTTCTCCCATATTAGACCAATCCGGGTATGTTCCATTGCTGTTCCACCAGTTAACAATGGCATCCAGTCGACTCATCACAATGCCCTTGCCCAATTCGAACTGCGACATATTTAGGACGTAGTTGTAGGCCACAAGGCACATGATATTGTTTGTTACCTCTAGACATTGTTCAAGCATATACCTGTCAAAAAAATATAATAATATCTTGTAATTCTAAAAGATTCCTTATTAAAAAACAGACTCTTAGGTTAAAGTCTCATACAGTATTGTGTCATACAAAACTACACCTCATATCTTATGCCTATAACCTATAAAAATCTACATTGGTCAGGGATTAACTTATAATTGTCAGTCAAATTCTAGTGTCCTTTCCATCCGTGTAATGTATAGAAGTTGTTTTACTTCGTTTTAGCAACTTGGTCATATTGGTAGGGAAGAAACAGAGGGACGCACATAGTCCGAAGTCCATTGTATGCATGATAACTTCCAAAGTTGTACCGTGGACGTGGTACCTTCCCAGACGGTTCTCCGGCATCGTAGTCGGCATCGTCAGTGAGTCAATCGGGAGCTACTGGTTTCTGAGGCCTGTAACGACATCACTGTCGCCTTGATATGCTAATCGGCAAGTATGCTTGACTCTTGCAGATAAAGTTGGCTCCAGAGGCGTTTTCCAACATAGTCCAGCTATTTGACTATAAGTTAACCATCAGCTACTTCTGGCTCTTGAAGTTTTAGACATTTTTGTCAATCATAATAACTCATGCCTTGCATTATCTGGCGTCCTTCATCATAGATAGTTAAGCTTCGTCCTTTGTTTCCAAGCTCATAAACTTATATGGACATATATTTACAACAACTTTACAGAATTATCAAGCATTATGTTGTCTAGAGCTAGTGAACATTCGTTTTGTTTTACAGAAGGCTCCTAGTTACGCTAAACTTTCATGTTAACCACTGCTATAAAATTGTAACTTATATGAGCTTATGACATATCATTTGTTGAAGTGGCACTGGGGTTAAATATACCTTCATCTGATAGATGTTGCGCTGTAATTCACGAACCAAGGAACATACCTTGAAACTTGTATATTTTATGCATGAATTAAAATATGAGAGACAAATCGAGCTAGCTAATGTATGCTTAGATATGATGTCTAAATGACATCTTTATATCCTGGCCATTAATCTTCCTCAGTATAGCGTAACAATGAACCTAATTACGAGATCTAAGGAGATATCGGTTAAATGAGATATGGTCAAATTCAGTACAAATTCAATAAATTAACAAGAATTTGAGAGTGACAACTTTCTTAATTTACTACTTTGTTGAATTTTCGTAGACATTCATTTCTGGATCTCACGTAGATTTTCATAGCGTAATAAATAAAAGCTCAGTAGAGCTTCACCGAGGTCAAAAGAAATGAGCTGATGGCTTATTTGTACAGTCCTCAATCAACAATCCAAGTCAATCTCCCGTCGGCTTTCGAACACAAAAATTGTGGATTATCATCATGAATCTATAAAGGGAGTCTTAAAAACATAGCTTAGATGTAAGCCATGTAAGTTCGGAAGAAACTATTGGTCCTACATAAAGTTTGAAAAATGGAAAATCATTTATGGGGGTCTAAGGGTCTGCATGAAGTTCTAGAAGTTATATGAATAATTTAGGGGTTGTTTTTCCTAAATCTATTGAGGGACGTGAAGTTTGAATTCTGATTAGAGCTACAAGTTTGGCAAAGCTTTTTCTAAACGAGGAGTATACTAAGTAGTCGTTTTACAAATTTATATATTCGTGGTTGTATAATAAAAATTGCCCATATAGGTCGAACGAGATGTGAGTCTAGAAATAAGCTAGAAAATCACCCATTTTATGCAAACATAGTAAGATTTGTTAAATAAATCTCAGCCATTTATTTCGGAATATGGCTTACCATGGTCGTTGCAAGTTGTGCCCAAACTCGTGACAGTAGCCCCAGATATTTGTTGTCATGGTTTTGTTGATGTTGACTAAGTCATCTTGCCAATAGAGATGAGCCATTATCGGATAGCCAGCATGGGCAGCACCAACTGAGATTTGTACGTCAAAGCTCATCTTCATAATGCGGCTTTCATTATAATGCATGCCAACAAAGTTTGTCATTGTCTTGCCGATACGATCAAAACCAGCTGTCGTTCTCAAATACATATCCAAGGCTGAGCTATTGCGAAACAGTTTGGTTTCCACACAGAATGACCACGTATCTGCACTAAACTCCATGAATGGAATCGTGTAATCGAGCCATTTTCCAGATTCCCACACTTCCTTCGACTTTTCGCTGCGTTGGTCGTAATATGGATACTCATAGACGCCAAATAGTTTGACCGAATAGTTCGCTGGACTCCTTGACACCAAATAGATTGGGCCACCGAAGACCGAAAAAACTGTACCAACAGGCCTACGTAACTTGACTTCTACTGTGATGACTGGATACCGAAACCAAAACCAGTTCTCAAAAAGATTATCA